AAGCTTACTCCATCCATGTCATTAAGGTCAATTCTACTTTAAGGAGACAGCTCTTCTCAGTTGTTTTTAGAGTGCCTTCCAACCTGAGGAGCTCATGTTCTGACGCCACATCAGACAACATTTCACTGCTATTCACAATGTTTTCACTGGCCAGTTTCTTTCAGAAGTAAATCACTAGGTCTTTCTTCCTAGTCTGTCTTAGTCTGAAAGCTCTGCTGAAACTTGCCCACCATGGCTGACCCAGCTGATTTGAATACATAGCTACCAGCATCACAGCAACATGTAAGCCACTACAATATAACAAGCTGACAAATAAGTAGTGGGCATCCCTCTTACCCTGCCTTATTTTTTTCTATAATCTTTATCACTGTCCGACATATTTTTCTTTGTTAATTGACCATCTCTTTTCTGTAAGATTCATCAGGGCCTTTCTCTCTGTTGTAGTTTATCTGAAAAATTGTCCAGCACATACTAGGTACTCAAAAACATTTCCTTAATTAATTGATTTCGTTTGAATCTCTAGCACTTGTCATGTAATAAACAACCCATAAATATTTTCTTGAGTAAACTATTAAAAATTTGACTTGATTCTCTTTTTTAAAATAATAAAAATTTACAGTCACTATCAGATCAACTCCAACCCACAGCAACCCTATGTCAGAGTAGAACTGTGCTCTGTAGGGTTTTCAATGGCTGAATTTTTGGAAGTAGATCACCAGGCCTTTCTTCCAGGTCACCTCTGGGTAGACTTGAACATCTAATCTTTCAATTAGCAGCTGAGCATGTTAACCGTTTATGCCACCCAGGGACTCCAAATAGAATTCTAGAGGTTATTCATTCCAGCATTCCACACAGGTAGGAATCTCCCTATAGCCAACATTCCTGACTCCCAGCCTTCATTTGAACATTATGGTGGGCAGCTCACTTGTGAATACAAGGTGGTCTATCACTGTGTTGCATCAAAATTGACTGTCCTCCAAACTCTGTTGGACATACTCAATATCAATTTTCAGAGTGCAGAGACCTTGCATACCTTGTACAGAGCCCAGGACAGAGTAGGTGCACCAAAAACATTTTGTTGAAGAAATTAGTAAATCCATACATTTTGGTGGGAAAAAAGCAGAGACAAAATGTTTCTAATGTAAATATCTAAAATGTACACATTTTTAAATTAATTTTTTAGTACATGGAAATTCAGCAGTTTCCTTGTGTCACGTCTCGGCCTGTAAGTTCCTTCCACCCTCATTCATTTCCATCTTCCTACAATCATCCTCCAAAACACAACAGTTTTTCCTTGTTTCACTGATGTTAAAATCCTTCAGTGGCTTTCCATTGTCTACTACAAGATTAACCCAAATTTAGCCCAACCTTTCAGAGTCTAGCATCTGCCCATCTGAGTATGTCATCACCTGCAGCTCCTCCTTTTCTCTCCTGTGGGCTGTCTACCCTGAACCGCTCCTTTGACCCACACCCCTCCATCCTGCAGACTCATTTTCCTTATCCATTCACACCCCCAAGTCAGAATTACTACTGCTGATACACAGTGAGAACATTGTGCTTTGTTGTTAGTTGCTGTCAAGTTCATTTTCGACTCATAGGGACCCTATGTGACAGAGTACAACTGCCACTAGGGTTTCCTAGGCTGTAATCTTTACAGGAGAAGATCACCAAGACTTTGCTCCTGCAGAGTGGGTGGATGGGTACTGTTTTGGTTGTCTAGTGCTGCTCTAACAGAAGATACCACAAATGAGCAGTGTTAACAAACAGGAGTTTATTCATTCACAGTTTTGGAGGCTGGAAGTCCGAATTGATAGTGCCAGCTCAAGGGGCTGGGTGAAGGGCCCTTGACCTTGGGCTTTAGCTCTGTCTCTTGCTCCCAGCCCAGTGAAGCTAGAGGCTTCTCTTAACTCAAAACAACTGCTGAGGCTGACAAACCCAAGGTCAACAAAATGGCACAGTCCTAAGATTATCAGGCAGCACAGCAGGCCGCTAATTCAAGTCCATTAACAATTCCAAGATCAGCAGACAATGTGGCAGGCCACTGAGTTGAAGACTTGGCTACACACAGAGTCTAAGCATGCCAAAAGGCTCAGATACCTTTCTCAAAGCTGACTTCTTATTTTATGGAAGCAGACCACAGTAGATCCTTACCATGGAGTTGATTACTAGTCTCATCATGGGGAATAACTACATCCAGCTGCCCAGCCAGTCAACCAGGCCCAAACAAGTTGACACACAACTTAACTACCACAGGTTCGAACTGCCAAACATTCAGTTAGCAGCTAAACACTTAACCATTGTGCCACCAGGGCTACTTGATGAGAACATTAGTGGCTCTTTTCTCTAATAGCCTTTCAAAATGCTCTTAAAACTTTGTATCACTCTTTGTAACACAATTTACCTCACATTGCAGTTCTTTCTAGGCCTTGTCTCCTAGTCCTCTCTCTAGTGATTTTGATATTGGGCAGTTTTCGTGTTTTTCATATGGTGCCTAATAAAATAAAAAAATGATAGCTTTCATTTGTGTGTTTTTCTACTCTAGGCACTGCCCTAGAGGCTTTTCATACCTTCTCTCAGATCTTCAAAACAATCTCACAACATTGGCATCGTTGATGCCATTTTGTAGATTAGGAAATGGAGGCTCAGGAAAGTAGAGCAAGCAACTCAGCCAGATCACCAAGCTAGTAAATGTCCACATCATGCTTCAAACCCAGGTCTCCCTGTAAGGAAAATTCATGTCCATAATTGCTTTATGGTTAAATGACTTGATGTATGTGTTCCTCCTGAGGAAAATACCATACTTAAAATAAGAAACTATGTTTATTTTATTTTATTTATTTTTTGATGTCTCTAGATATCACAATATTACAATTCTTTATTGAGGTAACATTTATTTTCTGTATGCATATTCTAACACATGTATGTACTTAGAGATTGGTGACTTATTGACCCTGTAACTTGCAGAAAGCTGAGCACCACATTTGGTTATTCAACCCTAGCCCACTTAGGATTCAGCTCAAGGGACAAATAATTTTTGTGATGCAAATGCATATTTTTTTTAACCCAATAGACAAAGAGCATTTTTAAAATCGCTTTTTAAAGCCCCAGATTTACTTGACGTTTCCATCTGACATTAGTAGCTAAAGGAACTTTAGGGCTTAAAGCTCTTTGGCTACTAAACAAAAAGTTGGTGGTTTGAACCTACCAGCAGATCCATGGGAGAAAGATGAGGCAGTCTGCTTCCATAAAGACTTAAATAGCCTTAGAAACCCTATAAAGAAAACAAAAATCTAACTCAATGCTGTCGAGTTGGATGCAACTCATAGCGACCCCTCCTTGGGTTTCCGAGGTAGCATCACTATGGAAGTAGATTGCCCAACCTTCCTTCCAAGCAGTGACTGGTGGGCTTGAACCACCAGCCTTCTAGTTAGCAGTCAAATGCCCCACGCCACCAGAGCATCCTAGAAACCTTATAGGGCTGTTCTGTTCTATCCTATAGGGTTGCTCTGAGTCCAAATTGACTCGATGGCAGTGGGGTTTTGGGTTTTAGTAGCTCATCATGAATTGATTATTAGTGTTTCGTTTTATACCAGATGTGAAGAAGGTACTAGCTCCATGCATCATTTCATGGAAACATAATTAATAGAAAAAGCCTTGAATATTTCCTTGGAGTTATCAAAGTGGGTTGGATAGCTATTAAAAGTAGCTGGAAGTCTTAAGCAGTGTTTTATTTTCAGCGTTAGGCCATTTCTCATACATTAATGAAACCATTTATGATTTCCAGATGTTTTAGTTTTTCATTCAATAATAATTTATTTGCTAGAATAAATTTCCACTTACTCTAAAGGAAAATCGTTTGTATAGATCTTTAATACTTGAAAAATATAAACACTGTGGTAAACACTCTTGTTTGTAATTTTATGAAAGGAAAAATGACAATGGCTCGGTATACAAGATACCAAAAGAGCAAGGTTAAAAAAAAAAAAATAATAATAATAATAATTTCAGTGTACTAGAATTAATTTCATTGCTTTAAAAAAAAAAAAAAGCTTATATAAAAATAACAGCCTTCGGGAGAAGCTTCTCCCATCCCCCAGATATTCCAGCTTATTGTCGGTGCAGCCAGTGAGCAAAGCCAAGTATAGTTGAGTATTTAATATTCAGAGTAGATGAATAGTAGGAAAATAAGTGACAGTTGCATATTTGTAAGATATAAATTATGCATCACTGACTTGCCAGCTCTAGGCTTTTTACCTAAAAAAAAGAAGAAGTCATGCTCCCTGTGTAATTTTGGCTCATTTCCAGAGTCCATACTTCCTACTGCTGGCTATGATGAGATGCCAAACCCTTCTGCTGTTTGAATTTGCGCAACAATGCTTTAATACCCAGAGCTCCTCCATAAATAGTCTGTTCTTCCCACACTCAGTGAGAAAACAACCACAGAAAACCTGGGAATGTGCAGCTAGCCCCGCTGAATTGATCTAAGCCTGCAGGGCTGGCAGGAGAGCAGTGCACACACACACAGCCTGTGCTCCTGGCCTTGCAGGACTGTTTACCTAAGGGGCAAAGAAGTCTGCGTGCAAAAGACACCATGTTGCTACTGCATGCAGCCTTAGCAACAGCAGTATCCGTTTTTGTTGTTGTTTACAACCTGGAGAGCCATACTCCTCTAAGGCAATACAAACTCCTTTCCCTCATTACTTGCCCCAATCAGTAATAATCAAGACTGTCAGCTGGCCGGAGTTATGAGGAAGAGCAATCGAGGAAGTCATTTTGTCATTCTCAGAGAAGAAAAGTTAAAAGAGAGCAGATGGATGGTTGCTCTTTGCAAGCAAGTGGCCAGCTAGTATCCAGGGGATGTTGAGCCATGGTTTTGATTTCTGTGCTGGATGCATCGGCAGCTGTGTCTTGGGAGGTTTCATTCAGGAGTGGAATTGGTGCAGACATTTTTGGGTTTTGGTGAGCGATAGAGATTTGGGGACACTGTGCTGTTGTTGCAGAGCTCCACAATGAAGATTCAGGAGCATCCCAGCATACCTGACACCAAATTGCAGAGGAATCAAGATGCCGATGACCAGCAGGAGAGCTTTGTCTCCGAAGTGCCCCAGTTGGACCTGACTGCATTGTGTGATGAGAAGAGCTGGGAAGGTAGGGTCATCTGCTGCTTGGATGATTTAATATTGCAAAAGTGTAGATAAATAATCGTAAATGAGAGACATGCAAGAGTGTGCACTCCTGGGTGAGAATGAGCACTACGCACACCGAAGTAACTGCATTTCTAAATGACCAAAAATCTTTTACCTGACACAGGAATGTGTCCTGTAAAACATTGCCAAGACTAATTGTAAGAAAATATGCTTGCCTGTTATCAAAGTGTCACCTTACAGGTTGGTTGGTTTTTTTCTTTTTAACTCACTGGCAGTGCTGGATGTATAGATGGATGGATGGATGGATGGATGGATGGACGGACGGACGGATGGATTTGTGTTTGTTTTCCCCCTAGTAGTAGGAGCACTGGTGATGCGGTGGTTAAGCACTCAGCTGCTAACCGAAAGGTGGGTGGTTCAAACCCACCAGCTGCTCCACAGGACAGAGATGTGGCAGTCTGTGTCAATAAAGATTTATAGGTTTGGAAAAACCTCCTCTGTCCTACAGGGTTCCTGTGAGTCAGAACTGATGTGACAGTAGTGGGTTTGGGGGTTTTTTGTTTTGTTTTTAGTACCAAGCAGAGTAACAAGGAACTGGTATGCATGTAGGATTTCCTCTTTCAGTATAACTGAAACCTTTCCATTACTACATGCAAATGTCTATCTCCTTCGTTGAATCTCCTTCCCATTCTTCAAGAAAGATTTTTGTCTTGTTTTGCTTGTTGGTTTGTTTATATGGGTAGATTATTTTTTAATCCAGTTTAGTAAGCATTAGGGATTTGCTTATCAGAGAGAACATGGGATACAAGTGCCTCTTATTTGAAAACCTGTAATACAGTTCTTCAGATTTTTTTTTTTCCTAGAAACTCTTTGTGAAAACATTGTGAATTTACTTCTGAGGAAGAAGAAGGTGTTCCTATCTTGTCAAAACCATGTGTCAGGAAGGATATCGCAGCAGTCATCAAGCTGCTTGTGCTTTCATTCTATGTATATCTGCATCCAAACATACATCAATGCTTATCTGAAATAAGTGCCAGTCTGCTCTACAGACTGTCATGCAGTGTATGTGTGTGTGTGTGTGAGAGTGACACACAGTGTGGACGTTTGAAGGCTAACAAAAAGGGAGAAATTGTGCTCCTGGTTTCAGTAAAGCAGCGTGACTTAACACAATGACTTAGCAGAGAATCACAGCTATGAAAAATCAGTCCTTATTAGCCTCTGGATTTTCCCTTGTCTTCTCTGCCTGCTTTTCTTTTTTTCTTTCTCCCTTTTCATTTAATCAGTGAGTGCTGGTGGTGGTAATGATCTTAGATGAGGAACTACAAGGTGAAAAAGCGTAACTCCACTGTTCTCACATCCAGGGCTTTAGTGAAGTAAGAATAATTTTTTATTCTAATTCTCCTTCCTTGAAATTTAAGGAATGTATTCAAGTTCATTTCATATAATTAGGCGATCTAGCTAAAATTTTGTCAGATCTTCCCATTTTACAATCCATTGAGCAAAAGGAAAAAAAGAAGTAGGGATTTTGTTTGTTTTTGAGTCATACATTACTGGGTGGTCTTTTGTGCTCTTGTTTTGGTTCATGTGCTTTGAAATAATTACATGTGTTGTCAGTTATTTAATTAATAAATTAAGAACAACCAAAAAATAGTCCCACAGTTGTCACTGATAACCAATATAAGAAAAAAAATAAGTAACAAAAATGAATGTTGTAATTAGGCTTCAAGGATCTGAAGTTAATTGCACATATAATTAACAGAAAGCTCTAGATAAAAATATTTTTTAGTCAATTCAAATCACCCACATTATCTTGATGATTCATTCAGTAAAGGCTCAGGTAGATTCTTCCTCCCCCTCTTCCTGAAATGAGCTCAGTTTGATTATTTTTATCTTGATTTATGATAAATTATGATCAGGAGCACTGATGGAGCTGTGGTTAAGACACTGGGCTACTAATCAAAAGGTCTGTGGTTCCAATCCACCAGCCCCTCCATGGGAGAAAGACGAGGCAGTCTGCTTCCATAAAGATTTACAGCCTTGGAAATCCTATGGGGGTCACTATAAGTCAGAATCAACTCAATGGCAGTGGGTTTGGTTTTGGGGTATGATAAATTTATGGTATCTCTTAAGAGGTCAATATAAAGCTGAAAATCCTCTCCAGAGTGGGTGAAAGCTAACTTATAGTCTCCTTAAAACTATTTTATGATTTAATACAAAGAATGTCCCCCAAGATAAACAATAATGCCAAGGAACCAATTATTTTATTTTGTATTGGGAAAGCAGATAGAATGAAAAACTTTATTGGGAAAAAAATACATTGCATTTCAATAGCTTTGGAAATGTGAGCTGTATTATCCATGTTATTTATAAAGTAGCTGGCTTTGACTTATTTTTTCTTTTTTTTGCCAGTGACTGCATTTGTCATTAAACTTGTATACCTAAAAAATCCACATAAATGCATTTCAAGGTCTGTTTTGATCATTTGGTTACTGCTACCAGTGGCCATTTTTCATTATATATTTATTTTCACTTTCCAAGTTATATTTTTTTCTGTAAATATAGTAGAAATAAAGAATTTTTTGCATGAAGAGGAGGAGTTAAAATGACAGCAGTAAATCTAATCACTTTAAAAAAAAAATTTTCTATAGCCTCATTAAGAAACAAAACAGTGTCTTTCCAGTAAGGAATAAATTTTGCACTGACTTGAGCTGTGAATATGAAGCCAATGCCACAAAATACACAAATGGGAGTAATTGTTACCAAAAATTACAGATGTATCTCATTTTATTGTGCTTCGCTTTGTTGCACTTTGCAGATACTGCATTTTTTACAAATGGAAGATTGTGGCAACCCTGGTCTGATGGTGTAGTGGATAAGGCATCTGGCTGCTAACCATACTGCCAGCAGTTCAAACCCACCAGCTGCTCCATGGAAGGAAGATGGGGCAATCTACTCCTGTAAAGATTTATAACCCAGTAGGGGTTGCGATAAGTCAGATAGACGCAGTGGCAGTGAGTTGGGCCTTTTCCGTTGTGTCAAGCAGGTCTATTCATGCCATTTTCCCCAACAGTATGTGCTCACTTTGTGTGTCTGTGTCACATATTGGTAATTCTCACAGTATTTCAAACTTTTTCATAATGCTATTGCTCACTTGGGGAGCTCTGGTGGCGTAGTGCTTAAGGCATTTGACTGCTAATCAGAAGGCTGCTGGCTCAAATGGACCAGCTACTCCTCGGAAGGAAGTTTGGGCAATCTACTTATGTAGTGATACCGCCTTGGAAAGCCAAGGAGGGCTCCCTATTAGTCGGATCTGACTTGACGGCAGTAAGTGAGTGATTGCACACTTAATAGACTACAGTATAGTATAAATATTATATGAACTGGGAAACCAAAAAATTCATGACTTGTTTTATTGCGATACTCACTTTACAGTGGTGGTCTGGTACCAAACCCATAATATCTCTGAGGTATCCCTGTACATGAGTATGCCTGTATATAATATCCATTTATCATCATCAGTCTCTAAGTTACTGTGTGGTTTAATATCTTCTTTTTGGTTGGATATTCATACCCTGTCCCTACCCTGTAGTACATACTATGATTGACATTCTGTTGTACATAGGGTCGCTATGAGTTGGAATTGACTTGATGGCACTTAACAACAACAACAACATCCCCATCCCATAGTTCATACTGTCTCACTGACATAAAGTCATAGATCATCGGGTAAGACAGTGCTTAGTCAGCAACCTGCTGGTACTAGCCACTGCAGTGTATGCTACTACTATACATAGACATTAGGTTCTCTGGCTTCTGGGTTAGTATCAGGGAAACAAAAAAGGGAAAGAAACAAATTAATAAAAAATCCCATAGGCTACATAGAGTGGAAGTCCCTCAAAGTGTTACAGGATTAGAGTTTAATCATGCTGTTGGGCAGTTACGAATCATGTTATTTTGTTCATACTTAAACTGTTAATATTATTGTTCATAATATGAGCAAATATTATTGTTCATAATATGAGAAATTATCATTGTTCATATTATTACAAAGTATGTGCCCTAATACATACTTACAGATAAAAAAACATGGTTTTATCTGTAAGTATGTATTAGGGCACATTATTTGATTTATTCGCATGATCCTATTATTACCATCGGTTTCACTCTCCAAAGTTAAATGAATATACAAATCAAGTGCACTATTCTGGGTTATTTAAAGCCTTTCAGAGTTGAATAAATAATTGGAATGTTCCTAAACAGCCAATTCATGTTGATTTGGGAGTAGCATTTGGAGAAGTTATGAGGTTTAAATGTTCTGCTATTCTATTATACTTGGCATGGTGAAGTTTTAAGGCTCATTAAATACTTTATATATTTTATTTATTCCTTACTCCTTATCAAAAATAACTTTGGAATGGAAATATCTCTAAAAGAATCATAGAGAGGCAATAGATTTTACAGATCTTCCAGTTGAATCCTCAGGTAAGGAAATTGAGACCAAAAGAGACAAAAAGGATGATTCAAGAAAGCAAAGTCTCCAACTTCTACCTCCGTACTTCTCAAAGCAATGACAAAAACATATCACACCAGGCAGTGGAACATACTGGTTAAGAGCCAGACTCTCTGGGTTCCAGTTCTGGCTCTGATACTTACCTGCTTTGTGGGCAAATTAGTCAACCTGTCTCCATTTCTGCCTTAATTTCCTCATTTTGAATAGGAATAATAACAGTACATAATAGACATAACAATAAGTTTGCTGTGAGGATTTAATGAGCAAATATATATCAAGTGCTCAGCATACTTTATACCACCTGGTGGCACAGTGGTTACGAGCTCGCAGCTGACCAAAAAGTTGATTTTTAGAACCCAGCAAGTGGGTCCGTGGGAGAAAGACCTAGGAATATGCTCTCAAAGATTACAACCTAGGGAAGCCTATGGGGACACAGGGAAGAGGTAACTACAGGGAAGAAGTACGAAGAGAGCTGTTACATTGTGGGGAATTGCAGTCAATGTCATGAGACAAAATGTGTAAGAACTGCTATGTGGAAAATGAATCTGCTCTGTAAACTTTCACCCAAATCACAATAAGTTTAAAAATAAAGTAAAATAAAAACAGACTTGAAGCAAATAGGAAAAAGAAAAGAAAGAAAGCAAGCCTATGGGGTACTTCTACTCTGTTTCATGGGGTCACTATGAGTCAAAAATCACTCAAGGGCACCTCAGGACAGCAACAATAGTCAATTCACACCAGCCTCCTTTCTTTCTTTGATGATATTTCCAGGCTCTATATTAGGGAAGTGATGCATCTGAAAAGACCTCAGGAGGAACTCTGACATTGACCTGAGATGTGGAAGGGATAGAAGATAGTCAGGTAGGCGAATGAGTTAGGAACTGGTTAAGTAAGTGCACTTAAATTTGTAGATAAATGGATCAAAGTCAACTCTGATTCTAGTAGTTTGCAAGACTACTTCAACAATTTAATAGGACTACCATTGTTCTAGGAGCTGTGGTAGCATAGTGCCTAAGGCGCTTGACTGCTAACCAGAAGGCTAGCGGTTCAAACCCATCAGCCACTCCTTGGAAGGAAGGTTGGGCAATCTACTGCTGTAGTGATACTGCCTCGGAAACCCAAGGAGGGGTCGCTATGAGTCGGGTCCGACTCAACAGCACATAACAACAACATCCATTGTTCTGGGGTTAAATTTGGGAACACTAGGAAAAAAATTTAAAACGTTTCCCCTATTTCTCTGCCCCAGTAAAGGCCCTCCACTATGAGGCTTACATCTTTCTGTATCCAGATGTACAAATATCTCCTAGCACTCCTAAGTGGCCTCCTTGAGAGATGGGTATGATGACATCATTCCAAGTAGTAATAGCTCTAAATCATATATAGTTTGAAATGAAATGTGAGAAACATCAGCTCCCTTAATTTTGTGTAGATTTCTTAGAAATAAATCATCTGAGCAGCCAATTTTCTTTTCTGTAATAAATGTACATATCCAGCTAAGTATTGAATAGCTAAGTCCCAATGACTGCATTAACATTACTCAGTTCTACTCCATCTCCCTACAGTGAATTTCCTTTTTTTCCACATGTGCTATAGTGTGTGAATTGGAAACCCCCATCCATGACCTGTTCATTTTCATTAGGTAACCAACACACAGTTTCTACCTGTTGTTTCTGACCCACTATAATGTCAGATGACCTGTAGACTGATTTTCAATAGGAAGACATTCCATACATATACAAAGGGATACCTCTTTGTGACAAGACATGTGGCTAAAATCAAAATTGCTGTACATATAGAATTGTGGTCTAGATATGAAAGCACATTTATTTTATGGCATACTTTAAGATGAAAATCCATTTTGAACCTTCAAATATTTTTTCTTTTACTTTTGAACAATTTTCTTGCAATATGTTTGTTGGATTTTAAAGAAAACCAAGTTATCTGGAAACAAAGATGATGATAATGATGATTAAAATAGAAAAGATTTCCCAAACCAGCAGTTGAGAGTGGTCAGTGATACACTGAAGACAGTGAATGCAAAAACTAGCTCTGTTTGCAGGTAATGCACTTGGACATGTGTGTCCTATTGGCTTATGTGTTCTATTGTTCTTATTTTGTTCTTTGTTTTTCTGGTTGAGTACCACGTGAGATATTATTAGATCCTTTCAAAGATCTAAAACCTAGCAGAGAGTTGATTTTATTGAATATTCAGTTTTACTGAACTATGTATTACATGCAATTTATAACTCTTGTATAGAGCCTTCAAATATAAGACTGTAGAGAATAAAAGGAAAGAAAAAACAAAGGAGAAATCATATAAGCATGCCATACTCCATAGGAGAGAAACTTCTCACTTCTGTTTTACAGGCAGATCCATTTTATTTTGCTAAAGTTGAAATTATGGTGGTTTTTACCATTCTCATTTTTAAATAAGCATCAAGAGAAAATTTAGGCTGTTATCTAGAATTCATTCAGCTGCGCACTTCATATATACCACCGGTGACACTAGGAGCATAACTCATTTGGTTTTTCTGTCAGTGGAGTCCTTGATCAAGAAAATACAAAAATATAGCAATGTTAACAGAAATAAAAGCCTAGAAGTAGCCCTATGTTAGCCACAAAGCCTTACATCACCATAATTCACTTCCTTGATTTGTATTTTATAGATAAGCCAGGATTATAGTTTGTTTGATTAATGAGCATACACACACACTTACTGTTTTTTGCAAATATTTTGTACACAGAGACACATGGTTGAAACTTGAATCAGAGATTAATTATGGCATTTTTAAGAGAGATTCTGCTGGATTCAGGCAAATTGAAGAGCTTCAGAACTAAAATAACACCTTTTCAAATGAGATTTTGATAAGCAGAAATGTCCAACTAACCAGCACACCTGTATGCCAATATCAACATCAGACTTTGTTTTCTTGATGCCTTCTGTCCCCAGTAAACCTTCTTGCCCTTATCCCCAGTTGTTTTGCTCCTAAACCTTTCCCTGTCTTGCTTGATTAATTTTAGTCCCCATAGAAAATGACTGCTGTTTTAGGAAATACCACGAAACAGAAGATGCAATTTGGTTGGTTTATTAGTTCCATTTCTGATACTTGGCAGTAATATCTTTTTATTTTCCTGGGAATTACTTTCTACTCACTCTTCCCTTTCTTCGCTTCTCAAACCATATTTCACTCTCCTGTGTTTGCAGTTCTAAGCTGCACGTCTCTGAACCCTGCAACTTAGGAAGAGGGTGCCAAGAGTTAGTACAGATGATGAAACAACTCTTGTTATCTCTAGTTCTGGCCGAGTGTGTCTACCAACGTATTCTCTGTCACTTTTTGACTCTTAGTTGATGAGATTTTATTTTTAACACTGCTTTCAGTTTTCTAAATATTTATATCATCATCTTTGTTTCCTGATAACTTGGTTTTTGTTAAAATTTGAAAATCCATGGACCTCGTTCCACATGAGTTTAGTCTTTTTAAATGCATGTGCTTAGTTTTCCTACTATGTTGTGAGCATCTTCAGAAGTTTCATACAGTCACTGGTAGTGAAGTACTTGGTGCGTTGAACTGAAGCACTGACCTGCAAGTCAGGAGACTTAGTTTCCACTTTCAAATGTTGTCATTGATTAGGTATTTATTCATAGATTACTAAACTTTCTGAGATTTTAGTTTTCTTACCTATAATCATTTAGATTGGAACAGTGGTTCTTAAAGCTGGCTGCACATTAAAGTCACTTGGGCACCTTTTTAAAATGTGTATTTATGTGTGTGTCTGTTGCGTATCTGTGCCTTCACCTAAGTACTCTGTTTAATTGAGTGGGGTGAGGACCTGTGTATTTCTGATTATTTAAATCCTCTTGCATGATTCTCATATGCAGCCAGGGTTGAGAATTGCTAGATTAAATGATCTATCTAGTTTCACCTGGTTCTAATGTTTTGCAGTTGTAACAAGGTCATCTTACATAAAATGAACAATAAGCACTAACTTAAGATAATTTTGTAAATTTTGTTAATAGCTTGATAGCTGAAGGAACAACTGTTCTATGATTCAAACTCTAGGAGTTCCAGAATTGAAGATCTCGACCAAACTCCAACCTGGAGTAAATCATAACAATCCACAAGTGAATTTAAAACATAACATTTTTTTTAATGCAGAGGATATTACAAATGATATTCCCTGTATCATTTAAGATCTTTCATTAAATTTTATTACATAGAATTTTGTATGAGGAAAGGAATATATTGGGACGGGTCTTGTAATATATACAAGTAAACATTACCCTAATATTATTACCTAATAATAATACATCATAAATATTATGATATTATTATATTATAATTCAAAACACCAAGTGCTTCAGTACCAGTGACTGTACAAAACTTTTAAAAATGTTCATAGCATAGTAGGAGAAATAAGTACATACATTTAAAAAGATTAAACTCATGTGGAATGAGGTCCATAGATTTTCAAATTTTAAAGGAAACCAAGTTATCTGGAAACAAAGATAATGATAATAAATATTACTCTTTCCCAAAATGACCTATCAGGATTTTGTGCTGAGTATATTTTATTCTTTAAAGGTTGTCTAAAACAATTTGTATAGATTTGTCCTGTGTAAGGTGATGTTTTTCCATTTTTTTGACTAATTTATAGATAACAGCTTTATTTTGACTACTATCTCGAGCAACTTTGAAGTTTCAAGTGCAAGGAATGCATCTTCAACGTGCTAATCCCAGGGCACTAAGCAGAAGCATGCAAAACAGCTTACAGAGTGACCTAAACCGAAGTTGCAAACTCCTAAAGAAATAGGTGCTCACAAGATTAATATGATTTCTTACTCATTTTAATGCAGGATGGATAGCTGTGATGCCTCACTTGCTTTGCTTTTCAATAGTGGCCTTCTATGGAAAAGTCTTCATTAAAGCCCCGCTGGGGGAGTTGGAAGCAGCATGTAGTCTTGGCTCCCCTCCTTCCTGGGGGCAGCCCTCAGAATTTCTCCCTTGAGAGAAAATGGGAACAGATATAGAAAATAGTTGATTGTCAGATATATTGGTAATTTGGGTTGGGGTATAGAGTCCCTAACCTGGACCATAAATCTAAAATGAAAAACCATTCAACTGGTAGCCTCCAAAAGCATTCTGAGAACTTGGGAAAAGATTGTGCTTTAATGAGCAATTTTGACCTGTAACCACCACTGTTTTCCAGAGCCTGTCCCTACTTTCTCCGCCTGGCAGCAAGAGGACATCAACTCTGACGAAGCCCGCCTCTCCCCACAGGCGGGGCGCTTGATTAGTCAACTTCTCGATGAAGACAGTGACCCGATGCTCTCTCCTCGGTTCTATGCTTATGGGCAGAGTAGGCAATACCTGGATGACACGGAAGTGCCTCCTTCTCCCCCAAATTCCCATTCTTTCATGAGGTACGTTTCTTTGTATTGCTGAAGAACATCATCCAGCCACATTAGAAAGTGTAGCCATGGTACCATGACTAGTAATTTACTTTAAAATAACGGTTTCAGTCTGTGGAGGAACTTTCTCCATCCTAATTCACAGGTTAGTGTTGTAGTTTTTCAGTTGAACTATGGCCTAACAACAACATTGCATAGAGAATTTCCATTAGCCCCTCTTTCCAAGGCTCCCTCGAATTTAACTGTTAGGCCTTCTAGTACACATTTCAGAATGACCTATCATATGTTTTCTGATTGTAATTGTGAGCTACAGAATGCTAGTTCTTTTTAATAGGTAGGAAGTACAGAGTTCAAAGTCACAAAATTAATTTTAAAATTAAAATTTCAAAAATTGGTAGTCGACTTTCTCTGATTCAAGAGAATGGAGACTGTTTCGACTCCCCTCCTTCCTACTGCATGGCATCCCGCATCCTCAAAGCCTATTTAAGTGCACAGTGACTGCTCATGACCCAAGTCATGCCCCTCACAGGCAACGGAGCTCCTCTCTGGGGTCCTATGATGATGAGCAAGAGGATTTGACACCTGCCCAGCTCACAAGGAGAATTCAGAATCTTAAAAAGAAAATTCGAAAGTTTGAAGACAGATTTGAAGAAGAGAGGAAGTACAGAGTAAGTGCCTCTTCACAGGGCTCTCCTCGTCCCCTCCTCTCCCCTGACACAGGCGTGTCAACAATGCTGAGAAGTTATGAAAGCTCACCAGGGTAAGGGAGATCACTGAGGAATTTCAAAACAAAAAGGCAATAAAAACTGGGTAGTAAAATTTGATAAATCCCAAACATGTTTCAACATTTTTCTTCTGTGAGTTAATCCTCATGAGTAAATTGAAAACTTGAGTCTACGTTTTATAAATTTATCAGTGAGCAGGAGTTGGGGAAAAAAACCAATGAATAAAGTCTTTTGTTTGGTTAAAACTTAATTCAGGATTATCTTCTAAGATTTCATTAGTACTGACCTCATTCTGCCCTCAACTCTATCTGTAGTATTCCCCAGAAGAGTGGGTAAAAGGCATTTTTCATGGTGGTTGCAGTGTAAAGCATATACCTCTGCTTCCTACTCACTTAGCCTTACAAGTTCAGCCCTACAACTATGGAAGAGGCTCTAGAGAGAAACTGAGAGTTTTTCTAATTCATGGTTATGAAACCTGGAATTTTGCCTGTAAGGAATTATTTGAAAGCATCAAAACTTACTAGCTATAATTTTTTTTTTTTTTTTTTTAGTTGCCAGCCTGTCGATTCTGACCTTTAGGTGATCCCAAGTGTGATTGTTCCACAGGGTTTTGGGGTTGGACCTTTCAGAAGCCAATCTCCAGTTCTGTCTCCTGAGGTGACTCTGAGTGGATTCCACCAGCCTTTTGGCTAGTAGTCAGGCTTTACCATTTTCACCACCCTGGGACTGTAATTACACCTATGAAGTTCACCGTGATTGATCATGGTTCATTTCTATTCAGATAGATGAGGCTCAACTTTCTTTTCCTGTTTAAAATGAAAATGATTATTAAACACTTTTGTCTTTCCTGCCCGAATTCCCGAACACTTACTCTAGATTTCCTTTTCTCAGCCTTCTCACAGTGACAAAGCGGCCAATCCAGAGGTCCTGAGATGGACAAATGACCTTGCCAAGTTCCGGAAACAGCTTAAAGGTAAGTGAAGTTCTGGACCTGTGGCACACTGTGTCAGCCAGGTGCAGAATCTATCACCTCACCTCACCTCAAGCTAAGTGCCACTGCTAAGATAATGCAGAAAGACAGGTTCCTTTAAGATCCATCCCTATGTCCTCAGCTGATCAGAGTAACTGCCCTCCCCCCATGCCTTCCCCTGGTCTCAGTCACAGGGTGACTCAGATCAAGTAAGATGCAAATTCAGCAGCATCTCTACAATTCTCTAAATCACTAACATAAGGATGATTATTTCAGTCAACACTTACCAAATACCCATTTAATCCAAGGTTCCATGCTTGGTGTTAGAAGAGAAGACAGAGATACAGAGAAAATTCTCACATTGGTTTGATCCCTATCCATTAAGGAGCTTGCTATCTTTTAGGGAATGTTGTTGTTCCTGTTGTTATGTGCCATAGGAATAGAGTCATTGAAACAACTAAATAGAATCCAAAGTGAACATAATTTCAAAATAAGATATATAAGTAATATAGGGAAAGTTGGGCATTTTTTTAAAATTCCCTTTAAAGACTAAGGGAACAAGCATAGGACAGCCTCTGCCACATTCTGAGAATAGCAGGCAAGTTAGTGTGGCTCAAGGATGAACGCTAGAATAATGAAACCTTTCTCAGGAGTTAGGGTTAGGAGACACACCAGATAAATCCAAGAAGGTACTATCATTATCTCAGGTTTTTACATAATAACCAGAGGATTTCCACTGTTACTATAGTTCGATACTCTCTGAAAAACAGACTAGTGGGGCTAAGCAGTTACTGACACCACTGAAAAACAATTTGGTTTCAGCAGACATCAGTTTTCACTTATCTCAACCCACAAATCTTTTCAACTAGAGTCTAAACTAAAGCTGTCCGAAGAGGACCTGACACCCAGGGTGCGGCAGCGGAGCAATACACTCCCCAAGAGTTTTGGTTCCCAACTTGAGAAAGAGGAAGAGAAGAAGCAAGAATTGGTCGATAAAGCAATCAAACCTAGTGTGGAGGCCACGCTGGAAGCCATCCAGAAGAAGCTCCAGGAGAAGCGGGCAGAAACCAGTCGTCCAGAGGACATTAAGGTGCGATGAGTCTGTGAAGGCCCTGAGCTGACTGCTGGTCCTAAGCCAACACGGTAGACACTTAGGCCGTGCCACATGAATCCCAAAGGAAAAGGTGACACACTGACCCCTCTGAAACATCCCACACCTTGAACCCAACGTCTTAGATGTCTAGAGAAACAGACCAAACAACTTCAGAGTCTTTTGACTGTGGGTAATTTGGTTCTTGACTACAAATTGAAAGCAGTAAACTCTATTCTACATATTGCAGAATGGACTTGTCTAGTTTGGTACATGTTTTGGTGATTCTCTGAGGTAGAAAGATTATAGACAAACCTTTTGGACTAAGTAAGCCAGCACTTGCCTGGGCCATTAACCTAAGCCCTATGTGCCTTGCAACCTTGCTTACCCCAGTATTCAGCATGCGTTTACTGCTGTATGAGAGATACAAGTAGTTGATGCTGTTTCTGCTTTGCTACCCATAATTTGAGCAAAAGGCAGTAATAGCCAATTTCTCAGGGAGCTTTGGATATAGACAACAAGAGCTGTTGTATGAGTGTTCTCTTTAACCTTCCTTTAAGAAATTTCTTTAAATAGAAAAATGGGAATGTTAATAAATGTTTTCCCCTCTTTCATTATCTGTGTCCTGGTGTTTACACAGGATATGACCAAAGACCAGATTGCTAATGAGAAAGTGGCTCTGCAGAAAGCGCTGTTATATTATGAAAGCATCCATGGACGGCCGGTATGTGCTGGATTTTCTGATTGGGGTGAATTTTCTGACTTTAGAAATGGATCTTCTATGTTTGGTATCTTGTAAATGGGGTTCCCTAATGTTTACTTTGACATTTAGAATAAAAGAGATTACTAAGTGACTGTATGTACTTTTGAATATGTTACTGTGTTTTAGATGAAAATTTGCACAGCAAATTAGATTTCCATTCAATAATCTATGCACAAATCAGTTACAGTCCATACAGCATCAGCACTCTCACCAGTTCTCCCCTTCCTGCCCCATTTCCATCTAACCAGTTTCCCTGCCCCTCCTTGCCCTTTATCTTTGTTTTTGGGTAAATGTTGACTGTTTGCTGATTGCTTAAAGGAGCACATTCCTCATGGATGGTGTTGTTTATTTTATAGGCCAATCTATTATTTGACCGGAAAGGTGACCTCCAGGAGCAGCTTCAGTTCCAGAATAAAAAAGGGTATTTTAGGGTGATAGTCTCAGGGGTTCCTCTAATCTAGAGGTTCTGTCAGTCTAGTAAATCTGGTCTTTTTATGAATTTGAGTTTCATTTTAAATTTTTCTCCCATTCTAACTGGACCTTCTATTATTTCCCTGGTCAGTATGGTTGGTAATGGTAGCTAGGCATCATCTAGTTCTTCTGGTCTCCAGCTAGGAGAGGCTGTGGTTTGCATGGGCCAGGAGTCCTGTGAACTAATTTCTTTCTTGAATCTTTGATTTCCTTCGGTCTCCTTTGCCCCAGACAGAAAGAGACTAGTAGTTATATCTTAGATGACCACTTGGAGGCTTTGAAGACCCCAGATGCTACTCATCAAACTAGGATGTAGAACATTATAAGCTAAATTATGCTAGCTGATTTAGTTGTTCTACAAGACTATGGTCCTGAGCCTTCAAAGCCAGTAAATCAGTCTCATGAGGTGTTTGGATATGTCTAGGAGGTATCCATAACTGTGTCCCCTGTGAGCTTTATTGTGTATATGAATATATATTCATTACAAACATGTATCTACATAAGCCCACAAATATACCTATATATGTACATGCCCAGGAGCACTGGTGGCATAGTCCCTAAGGCATTTGACTGCTAACCAGAAGGTTGGTGGTTCAAAACGAGCAGCCACTCTGAGGGAGAAAGACTGGGCAATCTACTTCCATAAAAATTTTCTGCCTCGGAAACCCAAAGGGGATCACTGTGAGTTGGAATCAACTAGATGGCAGTGAGTTTGGTTTTTGTGGTTTAGGAGCTCTGGTGACAGAGTACCTAAGGTATATTTGACTGGTAACAAGAATGTTAGGGGTTCAAACACACCAGCTGCTCCATGGGAGGAAGATGAGGCAATATCTACTTCCATAAAAATTTACAGCCTTGGAAACCGAATGAGGGTCGCTGTGAGTTGGAATTGACTCGATGTCAGTGAGTAACCTACATGTGTGTACTCCCATACACCTTCCCACATCCATATAGCATATATATTTACCTCTGTAACCACTCACATATTTTGTGCTTATCATTACTTTGCAAAATTATATATCACATCTACTGTAGTTGCCCTTTATTGTTACGTACCTCTCAGTATCTTCATTTACTTTGGTCAAGTTGTGCTGACTTCCCCCATCTTGTGTATTGCTTTCCCATCATCGCAGTTAACTATCTAGTAAGAGATTTCCCCCTCACTCCCCCTCCCATACCTGGTAGCCATCAAAGAACAGTTCTTTCTATGTGTATACCTATTCTTGACATTTTATAAAAGTGGTATCATGCAATATTTGTCCTTTTGTGTTTGACTTATTTCATTCGCATAATGTATTTTAGAAATTAGATTCTGTCAGGTATGTCATTATCAAATTTTTTTTTTTCACACTGTGTTGGCACTTTTTGTACTCTTTTGGTTAAATCTTCTGATGAGCATACATATTTAATTTTTAGGAAATCCCAGTTATCTAATTTATCTTTTGTTCATTCATTTCAGGTTGTGTCTGATAGTGTGTTTATGCCAAAAAATTATGACCCCTAACTTTGTCCCTCTGTTATCTTCCAGGAACTTTACAGTTTTAGCTTTAACATTTATGTCTTTGATCCATTTCAAGTTAGTTTTTGGGTGTGGTATGAGGTATGGACCCTGTTTCATTTTTCTGCTAACGGGTATCTAGTTTTGCCACCACCATTTGTAAAGAGACTGTCTGTTCCCCATTGAATGGACTTCAACCCTATGTTAAAGATAGATTACTATATATTTTCACTATAAGCTTCTGAAGTCTTAGCCAATAAGAAAGTTTCACTAGGTAATAGATACTGAATTTAATTATGTTCCAAAGAAAAATTAGTTTGCAACTAAAATTTAGTCACTAGTGTCCTGTTTCCAGAGGAGAAGAGGGGTATGAATCCATATGCACAGAACACAGGACTCAGGAAACTGCTCTGTCCTCAGATCTTCCCCATAAGGTGTCACTTAGCTACCCTGAGATTCAACTTTCTTATCTATAAAATGAAAGAAGCTGAACTGAAATTATCTGTTCTGAAATTCAGACTCTCTGCAATCCAGAAAAAAAAAAAAATGCAACCAATGTTTGTTCATAAAGAAGTTCCAGTTGCCACTGAGAACGGAAAGTGTGAGGAATCCAAAATAGGGCTTTGCCTTCACATAACCACAGGTTAAAAAAAAAAAAAAAAAATGGAGATCATTTGTTATTCAGCAAGCATTTATTGAATGTTTATTGTTACTTGTAGGGGAGATAGTACACAGGCTTCTGCTTGTCCTTCAGGAAGCTTGAGGTTTAGGTATAGCTGTCATTTTATATAGCCAAAAAGCTATATATATACAGGTCTCTTTTACTGCCTCAGCCATAACTATGGAATGGATACAGTCTTTCCATTAAAAATTCGCTCTTAAATAAAGACGCATCTGGAATAATACACTAGACTGTAAGGTCTGTGAGGACTAGGATTCTGGGTTTTATTCACCTAATTGTGAACCCAACCCTCATTTTCTAACACAGGACTTAACATATATCATGTGCCCAGTAACTACCTGAAAATGTATCCACATTATTTTGGTTCTGAACTTGTCAGTTTTAAAAAAAAAAAAAAAAAAAAAAAAATGGAGCATATGATTGATTTTACTGGCCTGTCCCTGCAGTGGAAAAATACTGACACTCAAGGATAATGTTCATGTTTCAGCCAAGTTTTGCTTTGGATTTTGTGAAGGCATTGAACCAAATAGTAAATGCACTGGAGCTCAAATATATTGTGAAACTCTGTCCTTCTCTACTGGAGTATAGGCAAGGGTTACAAAACAAGATCTGTTTCTACCTGTGTCTTTAAGAATTTACAGATAAATTGGAACAGGCGCATACTATTCTCATTCAGCCTTACTTTAGGGTGAGAAAAAGCTCGAAGACTTTTCAATGATTTAAAAGCTGCATGTGCAGCAAATGAATGCGATTGTGATGAAGAATTTGTTGCTGCAGGAGTTGGTTCAATCCTCTCAAAGTGAGGGACAATTTACATGACATTAAAGGGCACATGGGAGTTGTCCATCAAATGTTTGTGACCAGGGACTGTATTCAGAACATGTCAGGATAGAGCTGAGCCCCTTTTATCTGGGAAAAACTCCTCCTGTACTGTAGGCTCCGAGCTTCTAAATAAAGATCCCCTCATGGTTACACAGCAGGTCTTGTTGGCGGTGGTGAGAGTAGTGCGTTTTCCTTTCAATTTTCTTTTCATTGTGTGGCTCCAAGTGGCACAGATAGAGCCCTTGAAGGATTTCCTTGCCCAAGGCCTCCAATTAACTAGATGTGAGAAGAACTCACAGCTGCTTTCAAGATAGACACCCTGGTTGCCAATTCAGTGTTTTGTGGGCTGCAGTATTTTTCCACTGAGCTGGGCAGTTTCATTCCACCTGGATGTGGCAGTGTGCAGACACCA